CTGTGATCCTCACAGTGTGAGTAGTATATGAGCTCATTATGAACTCAAACGATCCTCACACTGCGATTCTCACAGTGTGAGTAATAGGTGAGCTCATTATGAACTCAAACTATCCACATACTGTGATCCTCACAATGTGAGTAATAGGTGAGCTCATTGTGAGTTTACACGATCCTCTTACTCTGATCCTCACGGTGTGAGTAGTATATGAGCTCATTATGAACTCAAGTGATCCTCGTACTCTGATCCTCATGGTGTGAGTAGTATGTGAGCTCATTGTGAGTTTCAAATTTTGAGCAGGTTGAGAGAAGGCAGTTCAAATATTAGTCACCGGGGATAAGATCATCTACATCTTGGTTAAGATTACTAAAAGTTTTGCACCTACAGCACACATTACATCCATTGATGCAGAAATGCAGATATGTTCTACATGCCTAAAGTATATAGAGAGATAAAACTGCTTGATTTTGTGTAACAGATTAAAATATAATCTGCATATACAATAAACTATAGTATTAATTTAGATCTCTCTACAGGAAGGATTTTGCAGGTTTTAATAAAATGTTATTTAATAACATTAGTAAGCTAAATAAGAATATGTCCAGTATGTGCCTCAGGCTTGCAAAGTATCGTCAACTCCTTTATGAGCATCAATGTAATCCTCGGCAAACTTTCAACACTTTGATGGTCAGCAAACTTTGGCTGTGCGTCTTTCGTCATCAGCCTGGAACTAAAGTTCAGTTCAGTTTGGTTACTTCCTATGAACAGGCTCAAAGAACAATTTGTTCAGAAATCGAACATCAAATTTGAAGCAATAATTAAAGCATATATCGTTAAGGAGTGGCAACAAAAATGGGATACGAGAAACACAGGATGTCATCTTTATAAAATACAGCGAGAAGTAGGAGTAGTGATGATATAAAAATTTTATCAAGTTTAAGTGTTGGTCACATGTTGAATAAAACTTTAAAATTAATAAATAAACATCCAACAGGATTATGTGAGCAGTGTTGCACACTTGAAATACGAGACTATAGACAAGCGTAATGAAATGAAGATCAGGTTCATCTTTAATAAACAAAACAAGTGAAGACAAAACGGAGCAAACATGGCACATCTCTCTTTCTTGCTCACC